CTTTTCCAAATTCCAGATTCAATGTTAAAGGTTTCTATATAGGCGAAGGGGTTTGTGAGGAAGGTACTATAGAAAAAAATTATTTGGAAGTCTACAGAGGAGAGAGTTGGTCACAAACTATAGAAATGAAAGCCATAAGTTCAATATTGACCTGTACTTGGCCAATCAATTGGTTATATGGGTCTCTTTGATACAGTTCTTTACTGGACACTATGTTCTAACCTTCAGTCAGTCAGTTCAGTCACTCAATCATGTCTGACTCTTTGCGACCCCATGAATCGCAGCACGCCAGACCTCCCTGTCCATCACAAGCTCCCGGAGTTTATTCAAACTCATGTCCATCGAGTCGGTGATGCCATCCAGCCATCTCATCCTCTGTCGCCCCCTTCTCCTCCTGCCCCCACTCCCTCCCAGCATCAGGGTCTTCTCCAGTGAGTCAACTCTTCACATGAGGTGGCCAGTTCTAACCTTCAATCACGTTCAATTTAACCAGTATTTTATGAGAGTCCTTCAAGAGCCAGGCACTGGGCTAAAATGTTAGAGCTATAAAATGATCAGAATATGCTCACTGTCTTCCCAAAGAGGTAATCACAAGACCAACAGGTCCGGGCAGTGGAAGAGATTCAGGTATCATGCAATGAGAGCCAAATAAGGAGTCCCTCACCCAGGGTGTGGACATGAGTTGGTGGGGAGGTGACACCCAGGAAGGAGTTGATGCTGAATTTGAAGAGACAGTGCTTCAGCTCAGATGAAACTGTCTGTGAATTCTCATCTCCTGAAGAGCAAATAGAGAACAGATAACCTTTGCTTATCTTTGTTTGTCTTTGTATAAGAGCAAATACTAAAATTTTTTAAAGTATCTCTATCTTCTAATCTGATAGGTAAAACAAGTGGTATATATAGTTTTGAAGCTGCAGTAAGGGCTCGATTGTTATTCAGACAGATTCTTCTAAGACATAGAATTCTTGGGAGCTGCTCAGACTCAGGCCAGAGCATATTGTTCACAGTGAGATTAAAGCTACTGTACTCCTGCCTCCAAAGAAGAGTGACACATTGGCTACTTAAAGGACAACACTAACAGAAAAGCATGCCAGCAGCCATACAGTCTCCCTGTTCTTTTAGGAGTCATATTGTAGACTTTAATCAGAGCCTATAGATCAGATGGGCTTCCCTGGTGGTTCAGATGGTAAAGAATCTGCCCACAATGTGGGAGACCTGGGTTCGATCCCTGGGTCAGCAAGATCCCCTAAAGGAACAAATGGCAACCCACTCCAGTATTCTTGCCTGGAGAATCCCATGGACAGAGGAGCCCGGTGGATTACAGTCCATGGGTTCACAAAGAGTCAGACACAACTGAGTGACTCACACCTTATAGATCAGGTGCATTTCCATTTGCATATGCTTCCTCTGCCCAATCAATGCAGTCTGCAGTTTGCTTATGCAGAAGTTGTTTCCACTTCCTCCCGTCTGATTGGGCAACAACTCCAGATGTCTTCAAAAATTACATAATGATTATAGCTCTGAACCCTTGACTGGCCTAGGAATAGGTATTTGACATTTGTTTTGCCTCCAAGATTGTCTTAAAAAAATCAATTCTATCAGAAGAATCGTTTTAAAGTTCTTGAGTCCTCCCTGACTGGTAATACATTCAGAAGAGATGGTGCCAGGTTTTTGCACAGTGATTCCATGTAGGAGAGTGACTCCCAGAACCTTTGTGGTAAAAGAAACCTTTGATAATCACTTAGATAAATCTTTTCATTTTATCACTGAAGACAGCTGTGGCCCAGTTAAGCCAAATGGACTTCTCACATCCAAACAGCAAGATTCTGCAATGCCAGGCTAGAGGGCCTTAGTCTCCATCTTTGGAGGCCAGGATCCCTGACATCCTAAATTTAAGGTACATACAGATCTCTTAGGGATCTTGTTAAAATGCAGATTCTATTCCATAGTTCTAGACTGGGGCCTGAGACTCTCTGTGTCTACTAACAAGATTCCAGCAGATGCTGATTCTGTTGGTCCTTGGACCCCACTGTGAATAATAATAAGGATTTACACTAAGAAAACGCATCCAAGTGAAGATAAACATTAGTGAAAGGATAGCTCTGGTTCAGACATAACAGGTAATTCCAAAAAGGATTGGTATACCTTATGCAGGTCTACTGTTACTGCACCAAATATTCTGTATCATTTTATGATAGAGATAAACCACCATCTTATAATACTAATTTCCTAGGAAACATCATTTTAGAATCTTGTACTAATTAGAAAATTGATTGGGTAGGATTTTTGATCCCCTTCATCTAGTTGTCCCATGCCTTCTTATTTCAAAAATGTCATCTAAGATGCATAAATGGTAATTTTCTAATAAATGTGTTTCTTATCTTAAGGGATTCATGATTCTTGAGCTCTTTGTGAATTTCATGGTTCTTAAATAAGTGCATTTCTTACCTCTGATAGTTCTCTCACACACAGACACTCACACACACGCCATAGTCACACATCTTATACTATGTTCTTTGTATGAAGCAAATGGATTATTATGTGATAAAATTAAGAATTTAAATTTTTATGAAGAATGCAAACAGGTAAGATGAAATGGTCATTATAGAATATATTCTTAGTTCTGGAATTACTTACTTAATTATAATTTATGCCTATATGGTTTATAGTCCTGGTTCAGAAAAAAATATAAAAATAAAATCTCATATACTTCACAAATTTTTACATCAAGTAAGTTACATGGAAAACAAGGTTCCATGTATTTTTTTTAAATTACATGGAAAGACATTCTTAATTGAAGCAGGTAGAATGACATATTCTTAAGAAATGACCCAACCTCACAGGTTATAGTTCTTATTTTTGTATTTCTCTAAGTAGTTCTTCCTCTACTCATTTCAGCAAAAGTATTATATACAAAAATAACCGGTTCATTTATACTTTTTTTGAAGAATTCAAAAAACTATGTAAATAACACGATATTTGTTTTTAAGCTTATTGATATTATGATTAATGATCATAATTATACTTTATTTATACAAGTCCTCATAGGGCTGAAAATATGGAACTTCTAGTATTTATTCTTATGAGACATTCTTCATGAAATTGGTGAAGCAGATGTACCAAATCACTTGAAAATGTTTTTTGGCATTGAATTTGGCTTTAAGAGGAATGGAAAAAAAAAAATCAACCTGATATTAGCAAAAATGAATAGTTTTATCCACATCTCTCTGATGCCAAAGAGGTGGTGTTTATTTTTATTTATTCTGGAAAAGAAATTGTGCATGTTTATGGTCTAGATGAACTGTTAATCATAATCATGGCTATCAGTGTGGGGCACCTGTAAGAAGTATATTTGTGTCCTGGAACTTTTTGATGACCCTGTTTCTTTGAGTATGATATTTGGGGTAAAATGAATCCATTCTGAAGTGCTTTAGTTACTGGAATGACAGCAACAAAAAGAGCGGTTGTAAAGGACTTCCATCTCTAGGCACAGTCCCATCCCAAGACCTTGAGAACAATATTCTACCAAGATTCTGGAATTTTGATAGGCAAGTGTGAGTGAGTAAAATGTAAATTTTATACAGCTTTGAAATAGTTTACCTTAAATGCAAAATGACATTCATTAAGTACTTCACTAGAAGAATAACTGTCTAAATTTTTTAACTGTATTTGTATTTGATTTGGGATAATTGCATGAAGTGAAATTTGTACTACTAAAAATCTGCCTCTTTATAGATTTTTTACACCATTAAAAATAAGACCTACTTTGTATTATCTTTTAAAAAAAAAAAAGGAGGATGTCATTTTTCTTGTCAGTAATCATTAGAGTGTGAAAGTGCTTGACTTGTAATTTGATGATTTCAAAGATACCAATGACAGAGGAGCCTGGCAGGCTACAGTCCGTGGGGTCACAGAGGCAGACATGACTTAACAACAACAACATGAAATGAAGTACAAAATTGTGTCTACAAAAGAAAAAACTCAGAATTACTTAAATGGTAAATGATGATGGATAGAACCAATATAAGCTCTTACCAGTACCAGTGTTTCAACGTCAGTTGATCATTGACAAATTCAGAAATGCCCTAGAGATAATGAGTTGTCTGCCCATACCTTGCCAAGCCCCTTCAACCTTTCAGCCTCACACTAGTTAAATTTCAGTTAACTGATTTTACGAAGACTGAAGCAAGCAATACCCCACAGTTTTCATGGGACATGGTTTTCTAAATGTTTTGTCTTCTCCTTTCCTTTATGTTGTTCAGCCACCAGGTCATTTGTAGGATTCTCCATACTCCGTAGGAGGAAAATTGCCAGTCTGAAAGTTCAGTGTCTTTAGCATTCGATTGCTTATTACATTTTTACCCTCTAGGTGCCAACCTGGATTCACTGGAGCGAGATGTACTGAGAATGTGCCCATGAAAGTCCAAACCCAAGAAAGTATGTTAAAATAATCTGAAATTTGCTCTCTCCCCCAAACTACAGCAACAATCGCTACTGCTTGGTGCCTTTACAGCTCAGCTGAGACTGATTCCTTTTGTTCTAATCATGGTTTGACCCACTCAGGGCAGAAACCCATTCAATCTTGTCTAGCTGTGTCTCAAACCACAAAGGTCATCGATTTCACAAAACGCATCATGATGGTCCATGATGCAATCATGGCGGGCAGGGGGGCCCACCAAAACGCCTTTCCTTCCGATGCTATCAAGCAGAAAACCTAGTTGAAGAAAACACCCAGCTTTCATTTTAAGTGGCTCCCTTTGAGAGAACACGGTCACTTAAAATGCTGGGATCTTTCTTTCGTGTGTATCCAAATTTGTATCCCTTTGGGGGAGACGCCAGAGTCTGAAAGCCATGACGAGGACAAAGACTCAGCTCCTGAGAGTGAACTCACCAAGTTCAGTCAAATGACACTGAAGGAGCTTCTTTCTAGCATATATTCACCTCTTCTCTTGTTTTCTCTGTTTTTTTTTCTACCATTGTTTTTTTGTTTCCTCTCTCAGGTGCCCAAATGAGTTTACTGGTGATCGCTGCCAAAACTACGTAATGGCCAGCTTCTACAGTACGTCCACTTCCTTTCTGTCTCTGCCTGACTAGGAGCATGTTCAGTGGTTCCTGCTTTCTTGTTGCCGCATCTCCCCTCAGATCCCACCTAGAGCTAGATGCGTTTTCCCAGGTCTAACATTGACTGCCTCTGCCTGTCGCATGTGAACATTAACACAAGCAATTGTATGACTTCCTCTGTTCGTGACTAGTGGGCTCTGAGCTACTCATAGGTGTGTGAGGCGCCAGTGTTTCTGAAACTGATCTTGAATTGCTGTGATACAACATGGTAGTAGTCTCTCTCACCCAGCGCAATGACAATAAAGGCCTTGAAAAGTCTCACGTTTATTGAGAAAATAAAAATCATTCCACGGGACAGTCCATCTTCTTTATAAAAATGACCCCATCCCTTGAAAAGGAGGTGTGCTAAGTTGTAACCAGCACACACTTGAAATGATGGTAAGTTCGCTTCGGTTCAGACTGTGTTCTTTCCGACAAATAAACAGAATAAAAAGAGTTCAGGTGTTTCTCTTCATTAACCAAACAGTTTGCATTTAAAAAAAAGCTCTGAGTAGGAAAATTAAAAGCAGACTTTTCACAGCAAAGGAGATAGCTTGGCTTCTATTTGACCTTGTTCAGGAAACAAGGGATTCAGGTCTAAATGATTTTTAGATGAGTTGTTAAACCACTTATTTATGTTATTCTACTCTCAATAATAATTTTAGGAAAAAATTTGTTTTTTAAAAATATTTTTTAGTTACTATGAAATATCACAGTTCACTGCTAGATGTATACTTTTAAAATGAGAACCGGGAAATGTTGATGGATTTCTGTGGCTTCATGAAGTTTTGAACATTCCTAAAAGACTGCTTACATTGTATATAACTGCATGGATAACTAAACTATGTATTTGTCCTTCTTTTGTGAACAAGGACTTTAGCTTTTAATTCTGGAACTTTCAAAACATTATTTTAAAAATAGATTCCATATAGTTATCCATTTAGATCAAAGGTGACAATTTTTTTTTCTGTAAATTTAGATCAGATAGTAAATGCTTTTGCATTGGCAGACCATACCATTACTGTCATAACCACAGAAAACTCAGCCGATGGAGCACAAAAGCAATTCATAGGCATGGACGTGTGCTATTAGATCTAATATATAAAAGCACTGTAATGGATTTGTCAGCCTCTGATTTGGCTTGTCAATTGCTTACCCCCCAAAATATTTCACATAGTGTATTGTGGTATAAATTCATGTAACACAAGAAACAGTGATAGAAATTGGTCATTTGGGGGCCCTAAAAGAATGAGATTTGACCCTTATTTGTATTCATACAAAGAATAATATTCTGTTTCTCATGTTAACAGTCATGGAAGAATAAATTCTATCAAAAAAGAAATTTCATATGCATTATGAGGAGATTGGACCCATACTATTCGATCATTTTTTTAGTGAGTGATACTTCTGATGTATTTACAAAAGCTGCATATCAAAAATCACATTACAGACCATTTTCTGTTGTGAAAAAGTGATAAACTGGCATTGCCAAATTTTCAAACACAGTCTCCTCTTTATTCAAAACCTCTAAATAAAATGCCTTTACTGGACAGAATTGTTCTCTCTACAGCTATAGATTATTGTTATAAAGCTAGATAAGATGGAGCATAAAAACAGAAGGTAAATAATAGAATTTTACTTAATACAGCCATTCCTTTTAGAAATGTTTGTATTCAAATGACATGGATTTACAAATCCCTGTGACTGTATAAATTCAGTGCAATTATATTTTAGATTTTAATGAAAATTGTGAACATGTACATTGTACTTAAATTTTTGGAATATCATTGTGCACTGAATGCAATGTAAAAATGAGGGCATTTTCCAAAATAATGATGCCGTGAGATCTGACAGTAGAACCTGAAAAAATGTTCTCAATTTCTCTTTTAGACCATATTCTCTTTCATAAGATATAATTTTAAAATAGCCATTATGTATTTTAATCGGAATGTGATTCCTTGAATAAATTCTTTAGTAAGCTTTCAGTGGCACTTTTGGAAGATGTCCAGGAAAACAGCATTCAGATTTAACCTGATTTAACAAAGATAGATAGGAAACACATTTATAAACAAAGTCTGTAATGACTGTGCATCAGTCCTGCCTCGTGTCTGGAAAAGCAAGAGCTTCCAGTCAGAAACTGCTTTCCAAAATTGTCTTGCCCAGAGTTAATTTTCTAACTTCCATGTCTTAAATTCTCAGTTTTTACTTCCACAAACCTTCACATCAAAAGCAGGGAAATAAATATTTGCTGCTCTAAGCACTTGATGTTCAACTAACAATGAAAGCCACACAAAAGCTAAAAAGTGTTGCCATCTTGGTAAAGTTTAAAATTTACTTATTTTTGTTCATAAAGTTTGAAATGCATATCGTACATTTTAAAAGAAAAAATATTCCCCAGCTTCAGAGAGAAACATTGTTCAACTTACCAAACCACATTTTCAGTTGATGAATCACATTGTAAAAGAACATACACTTTTTTAAATGCTTCTAAACACATAACTTACATTATTAGGATTTAATACAATTTTTCTGGTCAGGGTGTCCTACGGGACATGTATTGATTTATAAAAACTGATTTAAAATATAATAGAAAGGAACACATGTATCTTTTATAGGGCTTTCTTGAAGGAAGCCATTTGCCTTGAAATAAAACATTTATAATACTTTCTTGGAAAATACTGTCAAGGTTAGTACGCTTTAGATTTCACCCCTCTCGACACACAGTTCCTGCTTGAAAGGATTGTTTTCATCATTGTGTGTGTGCTGTGTGTGTGTGGGTTTGTGTGTGTCTGTGATTGTGTATACGAACAATCAATAATCAATTTATAGACTATAGGAAAAAACACACAGCTTCAATAGTTTCAAGCAGTATGGAGCAAATAGGTCATATATAAACTAACATCTAATAGGAAGTAATTCTAGAATAGCCAAAATTATAGACTATTTTAAAAGAGTACAAGTTTAGAACTTATGGGCATATCCTCAGAATGAGTTAACTCAGATAGCCTTAAAAGTATTTTTGATTCATAGGTTACTAGTGCCTAAATTATTTGTGTTGATTTTTCCAAATGTTTTTAAAATTCAGTGAAGTTATTAGTTTCTTTATCAAACGTGTATCTTGCTGAAAGTAGAATAAAGACACATCAAACTATAATGGAATTAACTCCAGCTAAGCATTAGTGAGATTTCACTGTGTGTGTTTTTATGAACATACTTGCTCATGGCATATGGAAACTTGGAAGAAAGGAGTTTCCTATTACATTTCAAAGGGTTCAGTGGCAATATGGATTGGTATATGTGAAAAGACAAAAGCATCTACTATTGTAAAGGTAAGTTGAAAATTAGAAGTCAGTGGCTACATTGATCCTATTTAGCAATGACATTGAAAGGATTCCTCTAGAAACCTCAGGGGGGCAAAAGTCAAGAGGACACATACCTCTTTGAGATTACTTGCTTAAGAAAACCCAAGAATGTCTTCAGATGTTAACAGAAATTATAATTACATGTATGGACAATTTCAACTTTTCAAGAAGTTTTCTTGTTCTTTTCTCTAATGCAATTGAAAATTTAAATTAACCTACAGGTTAATCAGTTTTCTTCAAACAATTATAAAATCCAACAGCAAAAGATCAGTGAGTCAATACTTAATAGTTTCTAAAGACTCAGATTTAAATTAATTTTTTATATTGCTTACTGCACAGCAGGAAATCACATGTAGAAAAGGAAGCTAAATTGTTTACAGTAACCTTCTTGTTTTTGAATTATTAATTTAATTTGAAAAATGGAGTGGCTAGGCAGATGTTCAATAGGAAACATATGATATGTAATAAGCCTAAGCCAACATTAGATTAAATAGAACAGATAGAAAGTAATAACCTCTTCAGAAAATGAAAAGTGTTTGTGTATTCTGCTTTTCTTGACTCACAATGAAAGAAATGTAGCCACCAATAGTCAAATAAATCACAGTAGTGTTTGCTACAGGACTTGGGTGACTGATGCATGCTTCCTCTGCTTGTTTCCTTGTTAGGGCTTATGGCCAGAAGAGAGTACAGTTTTAAGTACCAATTTCCCTTTGAATTATTTGAAATTGGAGCTGCCTGATATGAATGACTTCCCATGAAAATGAAATTAGAGTTAGGCTCACCAACTTACCTATAAAACTGTAAATGCAGTAATATGTATGCATGAGCATGCTACTAATTTTATTGAAGACTTAACCAAGCTTTCTATGCAACTAATATAGATAATTAGCAGTGTTCATGTAGGCATGGAATCATGATTCTTTTCTCTGGAAAGAGTTTCTGTAGTCATCTGTTGATTTTAACCCTTAAATTATTACTGACATAGGAGGAAAAGGCAAGACACGGAGGTGGTTTTAGGGAGAAAAATTGAGTTAGTTTCTCATAGAAACGTGTAAGGAAATTTATTATCACTTCCTCAGAAAATGAATTGTGGTACCTTGATGTTCTGAAGTTTATGTGGAGGAAACAAATTGGGAGAAAATGTCAATTTGTCCAATTCAGTGTTGCACAGAGGCAAGAGAAATTCAGATTGGAAAAAACTGTTAATTTTGCTGTGAACACGGTGCAACGAAAGTCACTCTACATCCTCTTTCTTTAAATTTATGAAAAATGTACGTGATTTGCCTGAGTACCCTGGACTTAAAGCAAAGCAAGTTCTATTACATAAAGTGCCTCTTTATCATTGTTAGTCAGTGTACTATTTGATATGTATTTATACATACATATTATTCATATATATATATATAAAATCTGGGAAACTTCATTTTCTTAAGAGGTGGCAAGTTTTGTTTGTTTTTTAGTCTAAATTCTTGATATATCACAGAGGCTGTCAGAGTTTGGGGGACCCTGAAATTAATCAAAACTAAGCCTGCATGCCTGCGATCAGTGGCCTAAAGTAAATCTCCAAATACATCTGTCCGCCAAGCTGTTAAAGCCCTCTGCTGCTGGCCGACACACTTCATGTCTCCTTTATTCCACAGGGTCACCCTGTGAGGCATGTGTCAATACCATAAACATTTTGTCAATGAGAAATGAACTTGTCCAAAGTCACTGAACAGGTAAATGGCAGAGAAAGGACCTGAAACCAGGATGACTCCAAACACGGTCTCTATATGAGGAGATCTATTCATGTCCACACTGTTTTGGAAGAGAAATACCCCTCCAGCATGTGCTTTCAAACTGGAGAGATGCCGTGTCAGATTTGGGGACTGTGCTGGTATCTCTCTAGTCAGTGACCGAGGAAAAGAAATACAGAGCACGGAACCCCTCTGTTTTCATCCTGCCCCGCCTTCCCACCTGCCTTTCCACCCCCCACGCACAAATGCGGAAGCCCTGAAGGGCCCCAGATGGTGACATTTGGTTAACAGTTCTTTATTTCAAGAATGGAAAGCATCATTTCCGGGTGGGATTTTTTTGGGTTTTTTTGTTTTTGTTTTTTGTGATTTGCCCAGTTTTCCCCGCTTCACCACTTGAGCCTGTGCAGGTCCTGCTGGACCTGCAATTCTGATGTGTCCTCAGTCAGGTGTGCTAGGACTGTGGTCTGGGGGCGCACAGCTTCCAGCCCCCTCCCCTGGGCAGCCCTGCAGGCCCCCTGGGTACCTGTGGCCATCGGCTATCATCTGGGCATCGGGGCTCAGCGCTGGGAAGTGCCCATCTAATTGCCTCTTTGTGATTTGAGGAACTAGTAAATTCAAGTTAACCAAAGAACCCAGGAATTGCATCCTCCTCCGGCCTCCTTTTTTTTTTTTTTAAACCATTTGAAAAAGTGAGGCATTCACTGCTATCCTATGCCACACAGAGATGATACAGAAAACTGGAAGCAGGTTCCCAGTTGCCCCAGTGCCCTGGCTGGCTTTTTTGAGCAGAAGTGTTCTCCATGTCATACAAATAATGGAGAGAGGGGAAGATTTTGGGGGGAAAGGAATAGTTTTAAAATAAGTAAATAAAATGACAGGAAATATTAGATCATAGCTCGCCCCAAACAATGAAAAATACCAATCTAATGTGACAAAAATTTCCAACCAAATCGCTCCTCTTGGCTTCACCTCCCTGCTCTGCCACTCTGTGCCTTTGGGTAACATGATTTCACCTCCCTGGAACTTCACGCCTGCCTTTTAAAAGCAGAAGGGTAAAATAATCCCAAATGTCATCTCTGATGATAAATCCGGTCTTTCGATTCCCAGATAACGAATAGCATAGAGGAGGAGTCAGTCATGCCTCTTCTCCCTCAGTAAGGTCTTTTAAGGGTTAATAAAGACACAGTGTGCTGCTATTTGCACACCTCTTAAAAGAGAAGTTCCCTCCGTGGACTCGTGGGGGCGTACCTGAGCACTGCTTCCTTAACCATCCACCATTTGTCTGTTCGATGTGCACGCACAGAGCCGTAATAGTCGTGTGTAATGTGTTTTGGAGTGCAGTGTATTGCTCTTTTCTGAAACTTTTTCCCTTTCTTTCTTTTTTTTTTGTCAACTTTCTGCATTGGCAGAGCATCTTGGGATTGAATTTATGGGTATGGACCAATCATCATTCCTTTTAGCCTGCAGAATTTAGAGCCTCTGAGCTGAAACCTTTATATTTCCCCCCTGTCTCCTCTTACCTTTCAGTTCCTAACTAATTTCCTTTCTCTTTAGAAGGGATCATACAGCCATAACAATGATTTCTTTGCTTTCAATCTATGGTTAGTTTACCAACGAGGTACAGAGCAGCAGCTTTTAGACTCAAAACTTTCACTTAGAGTTGAAAATCACCTTACTTAATACAATTCACATACATCCCATGTTCCTTGACCCACTGATCGGATCTGACCATGCTGTTATTGCAGAGTTGGGTAAGTTGGAGTGATTCATAAGGCTTTAGGAGGAACCAAGCCAGGGGCCTGAGAACAAAAGAAGCGTCGCATACACCAAGTTGGCCATTTTCAGCTCATGGGAGCTTTATATACAATATAAAAATCATCTATGCATATTGTATCATAGAAAGCTCTTACACTGCAACATGTTGCATACATTCCCTGATAGCCCAGGTGGTAAAGAATCTGCCTGCAATGCGGGAGACCCTGGTTCAATTCCTGTGTTGGAAAGATCCCCTGGAGAAGGGAAAGGCTACCCACTTCAGTATCTGGCCTGGAGAATTCCGTGGACTGTATATGACTTAGCGACTTTCACTTTTCACTTTCAGACATGGATTACTCCAGTTTTCTGGAGATATATAACCACTGCACTAGTCAGCTTCATTATCTTATGAGCGAGAAAATAAAAAACAGAACAAAATACCCTATGCTATTTTAGATGGAAATTCTAACACTAATAGAATTAAATTTGAGTCACCATATCCCACGTAATCAAATACAAATTTTCATACTGTTGCCCAGTGGCTCAGCAGTAAAGAATCCGCCTGCCAATGCAGGAAACTCAAGTTCGATCCCTGGGTTGGCAAGATCCCCTGGAGAAGGAAATGGCCACCCACTCCAGTATTCTTGCCTGGGAAATCCCATGGACAGAGGAGCCTGGCAGGCTACAGTCCGTGGGCTTGCAAAGAGTTGGATACGACTTAGTGACTAGACAACATCCTAGATAGTTGGGAGAAAAGCCAGTCTTGGCAGGAAGGGGAAGCCGTTTTGTCCTCCTGGAGGCTCCGCAGTGTAGGTCCCCAGGCTTCCTGAATGCTACGGCCCTGGAAGTGCATATCAATCAATAAAGCAATGTCCTGAATAAAGGACTATCTGGCCCCCATCCAGCTAGTGTCAGTGACATCATGCAACAAGAGCATCTTATAGCTGTTGCTCTCTTTTCAATGATAACATTACAGTCTACACCTACTGTACTTTCCATAATCTGTGAGAAATAAGGCTGTTGCAAGCTGTCAGTTTCCAGGGATAGAAACTCAATTACTTGCACATTCCCCTCCCCCCAGAAAAAAATTCCAAGAGAAAACTATTCATGTGATGGGGAAAGCCCCACATTCATGTACGTGGTCCTTTGCACATCAGAGAACATCTCTCGAGAGTAAGGAGCACAAGCAGTCCCACCAACATCCCACGAGTGGCAGGTGGTCTATACGAGGGGAGTTATCTAGTCAGGTTACTTCCCTCGGGATAAAATTTATCCCACTTCTCAAAAGGCATATTGGTCTTACCTGAAAGGAAGAAAAAAAACTCCACCATCACCTCCCCTGTTCTCCCTAACAGCATCCTTCCAGCATTATCACTTTAGGGTCTAATTATTAAATTTAATATTTCTTTTCCCAAACAATGACATATGATGATGGCTTTTGCAGATACATGATCTCCCTCAGTAAGATCTGAAGGGTTTGATAAAGGCACCCTGAGCTGATATCCACATACCTCTTAACAGGAAAAGCTTCCAGAGGTTCCAGCCAGCCAGAACATTGTATCCTTAAGGAAAATCAGACCTTACAGGCCAATTAAAATTGGAATGGCCAAGGCTAGTGTCTCTTGGCCTGGCCAGATCAGTCTGAAAAATGTGCTTGATCTGATTCATTTAATGCATCCAGCCAAACCATAAAGACTTAGAAGTGTTTCAACTCATTAAGGCAGATCCACCAACAGGACTGATGGATTCTTTTTTTCAATGCTGTCTCTAATTTGCTCTTGTCCAATTGACCCTGTAACCCAGGGAAATAATAACGAAGAAAAAGGAGGGTTGGTTTTTTTTTTAAGCATTTTTTATATTATTGTTCACCAAGTATTTCTCCTTGAACATATTTATTTTGTGAGGGTCACCTGATTTAGGGAACCATTGGAAAATCAGATAGAAACTTAAATGGAAACCATTTAATGCATTCAAGCCATCCTGATGTAAGTATAGAGTCGTAAGCCACATCTATGCTCTAGGGGGCTCATTTTAGCACTTTTGTTTTGCCCTTTGGCCTTGATGGGTCTGCCTTTCCAGTTCCATGATTGATTTTCCTGGGAAGTGTCGTCTGCTGACATAACCAGGGGAGAACGAGCAAGTCATTATATGCCATTTCTTCACGAACCCTAGTCAGTCTATTCTTTTAGAGTTAACAACCACCAAGAAACTTGCAGAAGACGGCACGATGCCTTCCCCACTTTTAGCCCTTGGATAGGTCCTCTTTTTACAGTTTGGGGAACCAGTTTCCCAGGTTTTTCTAAAGATAGAATTGGAAGATGGAAGCACTACCAGTGCTTGCCATTTGAAAAGAAGGAAAAATAGAGTAAATGAAAGAAGTACAGTAGGATCTTCATTTTCTAAGCAGTGATACTTTTACACTTCTGTATCTTAACCAATTCATCCCAAACAAAAGATCCCTGCTCTGCGTTCTGCTTTCCCCAGAGAAGGACCATTTGATCCAGGTGCCCGTTCCAACAGTATCAGCTCACAGATTAACACCTTATGAAATTGAATTCCCTGTCCTGTGGCTCTAGGGGAAGGGAGGCAGCAGACACTCGCAATTAGCATACAAGCATCCACATGCCACGTCCTCACTTGACTCACGCGGCGCAGAACTACGTGGCAGGGCTCTATGTCTCCTGGTCCGTTGTCGCCCCCGCAATGCACCAGCTGCTTTGCTTTCTAATTGTGGCTGCCACGTGACCCCCAGCCTAGGTTAGGAGTTATGCTGTATGGGATAACCCTTCCAAATCTATATCCACCTTGCTTCCCACCCCAGCACTTCCTCCCTCTGGTTTTCTTGTATGTATTTATTTTTCCTCCGTTAGTATCAGGCATGCTGTGCCAGGAACCTCAGATGGCTCCTTCACTCTTTAACCTCGTTTTTCCCTCCTACCTGGCTTCCTCCCTCTCTCCGTCATTCTGTCAGTCTGTCTGTCTTCTCGGTTTGCTTTCTTTTCCTCTTCCAACCTTTTCTGTTTGTTTTCGTATAATCTCTGCAGCATTCTGGTCTTTTTTTTACCCGCTGACTATTTTCTCCTCCTCCTGTTAATAATCAGTGATCTTATTAATTTGATTTGACAATGTTCCTGACCTGTTAACTGGAATTTGATTACCATGGGCTTGGCTTGTAGGAAATGTTTTTGTTTAATGATAAAGTCTGCTGTATCATAGAAATGGCATTGCACCTTTTTACATTTCAAGAAGACTTCCGGCAACTTGCCCTCTCTCAATAGAGGGGAAAAAAAAAATGTGGCTGCTGAGACAGAGAATGTAAATTGAAATTGTTCCATAAGGCCCCATGTTGATACCTAGATAAGAGACCTTCATTGGTAAACTGTTTCCCAGTTCTTGACCAGCTTGTTAATCAGAATAGCAAATGCAGCTTATGCTGCTTATTATGCATTGGTTAATTTCTCTTTCTCATTGAACTTGTGAATATTTCCCAGTGAGTATAACTAGACTGGTTGGAAGCTTCGTTCCTAAGAGGATCAGGTTCACCATTAAATCAGCCAATCTTATTAAGAACCTGACTACCATCCTGTAAGCAATTTATCCCCCTCCAAAGCCGATTTGCAAATAGAAAACCTTCCATGAATCAGAAACTGGTTGCAGTGGGAGTATAGTAGTACCTTCATCTGAAATAGCTAAACATCCCACCTCCCTAGTGCAACCGACATTAGCTAATTTCCCAACTTGTCCAAAGCAGGAAGGTACAATCTATTCCAAATCTTATATCATTTGTGCCAGTGCTTTTGTAGTGTCATAAACTAGACCTCTAAGTACAACTGGTGACGTGATAATAATTGTTCCTCGAAGGACAAGTCTTCCTCATGGCCCAGGACCATCCCACCCATCTTACTGGAGTTTCTCTGATACAGCCCCCAGCTACTCCATGTCCTGGTGCTTCTGTCCCCATTTTCCTATTAAATCATGGGAATCTTGCCTCGGTTTTGTGTCTAACTACAAGTCAAGCTCATGTTTGCAAGTATCTTTGAGTTTTCTTTCTTTGTTTTTTGTTTTAAGTTAAAAGTGATTCTTTGTAAAGACCACGGGAATAGGAACTAGCTGGGAAATCAAAAAAGGCTTGGGATGGCGGAGGGAAGGGGACAGGAGGCTGGGAAGAAGGCGGGAGGGGAGGGTCCCAGTAGTGCCAATGCCAGCTCCTTTTATTGGCATCAATTCCTGTTGTCTTTGCAAGAGATTTTTTTTTTTACAATAAAATCTACAGTTTTAACCAAAATCATTATTTTACCGTTAATGTTTATGGTTTGTCAGTTTAGTACGCATCTATGGCTTAACATTAGTCATTGAATAGATCTTAAATTTTTTATTATAAATGGCCCTCCAATGGGCTCTGCAGCTTTATGCTCAAAATGTGGCGCAGAGCGTGCTGCACCTTAAGTCTTATCTGCCGAAGGAATGAATTGTCCCGTGTGTATTTTCTTGTGAACATGGACAATGCAGCATGCCAACTCTTCAGTTGTAAGTCCGGGCGAGGATCAGGGACCCAGCTTGGCTGACGTGTTCTCATCCCTTTCCAGAAGCGGAGGAGCTCTACCAGAAGAGAGTGCTCACCATCACCGGCATTTGCATCGCGCTGCTCGTGGTCGGCATCATGTGTGTGGTGGCCTACTGCAAGACCAAGTAAGCATCTCCCCGGCCTCCTCTCCCCCGAGCGCACAGGCAGCCTGGGTGGCCAGGGCTTGCCAGAAACCGGGCTCCATAGCCTCATCTTGGAAGATTAGAGGGGCAGGGGCATTTCCTCCTTATTTTTGGTCCTGTATAACCCCTTTCGAGGACCTTCCTAACCACAGGCATTAGAAAGCTTTGCCTGTTTGTGCGAAAGTGCTCAGAAGACTTTTGTTCCTTGACCACAGTCCCGTGACCCAAGAAAAGGGCTGGAGGGACAAGGTTGCATACGGACCCACGCAGGTGTCTGTGGATGTGGGTCTCTCCTGAAAGGAGTGTGGTGGGTCCCACAGGTGAGCTTGTCATCTCAACTCCGAGGACACATCCAATCTGCACTCAGACGTAGGGGACAATGGAGGCGTTTGGTGGCATTTGAAAGGCAGGCATTTTTAAAAACCATGATGGAATTTTCAATTCCATCTAACTAGGTTACCAGTTCAAATTCTCCCACAGTGTGAGATATACAAAAGGACTCTCACAGGAGGAGAACAAGCAAAACGTGCTTTGAAAGAATAAAAGAGAAAACATGAAAATAGATTTGTGTTCACTTTGTTGGTTGTTGAAGCTGGGTCCTTGTTAACAAATACGATTATCATATGATATGAATTCCTTTCACTTTTGTATTGTGTGTAGGACTTCTGCCCAAGTTTCAAATAATGCTATTCACAGTTTTATTTTGTCGTTTCATCACATAAACTCTCATGCCAAAACTAGTCATGAGAATATTATTATGATCTGAATGGAGGAACACAGACAATCTGCATTTATGCCATAGAAACAAGGACATGGATGGCATTTCCTTAATATCCTGGGATGTAGAATGTTGCCAGAATTGAGCAAGCAATAGAGAAAAATAAACCTTCACAGAATCCATCTTACGAGTCTTACTAGATTCAGTCTCAATATTTGAATATTCATTACCTAGTTATACAAAAATGTACTAGAATAGGATCATGTTATAATTGTGTCAAAATCTTCTGGCAAAAGATGTACACATTTTCACTCACATACACACACTATGATGCACAGATTCAAAAGTAACTCCATTTTCTTGAAAGACACACAGACAGGCAAAACTATAAATGAAATCAGCCTTATCAATTGCACAGCATGAATTGTAACCTAAGACACATGACCATCTGTAAGACTTAGGCAAAGACGGAGTGATTCTGAAAGTCTGAGTTTTAGCCAAATCTCAACTTGGCTTATCTCGTCTTCTCCTCTGTTTTTTTCCTTATCTCTCAGCAGTCCAGTTCAATTTCTGTGAGAATCCCTCCCGGCTTCTTCAATCTATTTGCTAAGAACAGATGATTCCACTTCTGAGATGGGGTGGCTTGCCCTCTCGCTCTCTCTCTCTCCCCACCAATCCACTGCCTTGAGTGTTGTGTTGGTAGAAGAAAGAACTGACTGTATTGAAAAATGTAAATAATTAGAAAAAATAAATCAGTGCCCCATTTTTTCCTCTCCAGGAAACAACGGAAAAAGCTTCATGACCGGCTTCGGCAGAGCCTTCGGTCTGAAAGGAACAACATGGTGAACATAGCCAACGGGCCCCACCACCCCAACCCACCCCCCGAGAACGTGCAGCTGGTGAATGTATGTTGACTCTGCCCAGTGGAAAAGTTCAGCATCTCTCCTCTGTTCAGGCACCTTGAAGTTTATTTTCTAAAGCTCTTAGGCTCTTAGCTGCTGCCATTAATCACCAGGGCTTCCAGGAATCCAAGGTTTCGCCAAGAGAAAATAATGGGAACATTTTTTAAAGTGGATTTGGTGACTGTAAAACCAGCACATTTCCTCTTATAAAGTGTTCATTAACGGGTCGGAATAATAATGTTGGGTTTGTTCTGTAAGGAAGCCATAACTGGAAGAAAGAGCAGAGGAAAAACACAAAGAAAAATAATAAAACTCATGATACAAGAATCAGAAGGAAATGTTTTTTTTTTTTATACTTGGGAAATGAAGGCTGCTTGAGTCTATAACTGATTAGCACTTATACCTGAGCTAAAGGCTCTAGAGTCTTTTTTTTTTTTAATTAGAGGCATTTTTCAGGTGCCTGATGATTTACTGATTCTGCGAAGGGAGATATTAGGCCATGGAAAATGTTAAGGGCATTACCAGACTGGCTTCTCAGTAGCCACGACAGAAGAATTTAATACTTTCTGATTCCTTGACTCTTTCTACAAGATGCCAAACCCTTCAGAGGAAATATATCCATCACCATTCAAAGATGTGTTTTTTAAATTTACCAATCATTTGACTTTTAAATATAATGAATTCATTAAATATTAGATTGGAGAGTCTTTAGATTGCATCTTCCAAAGCTCCCCCTATTTTTTTACAGATGTAGTAAGTCCTTTACATACGAACAAGTTCCACGTGAACAAGTTCTTATTTGTAAGTCCAACAAAGTTAGCCTACATACCCAACTAACACAACTGGCTATGTAGTACTATAAGAGGTTTATAGTACTTTCACATCTTTGAAAGTTTGCAACTTGAAGGTTCTCATGTAGGGGACTTACCGTGAGAGCCAGGGCAGAGCGGAACTCAGCTTTCCTGGATTCTGGAGAATTACTCTTCCTACTTCACCGTCTTTCTTGTTTGGTTTTGTTTCCATTTCTCTTTGATGATTGGCTTTTTATAAGCAGGGCTGGAAAATTATATGACAGTACCATTTTCAGTCTTATAGTCAGAGATGAATTTTGTGTGGGGGGCAAATATATCAAAGACCCAAGTTCAGGGTTACTAGCTGTTCAACCACCAGGAAGTCAGAAGACTGTTAGGTGTTGATAAATTAACATCCTTCACTACCAGTGACGGAGTTAAGGATGAAGTGGTTAAGGAAAGGATGAAGTAACATACTTTCCTCCCCCTACCCGTGTGTTCATTAGAACGTTCTGCACAGTTGCTAAGTACTTTCTCTACTGACATACCTATAGTCTGTCACGTTGTATATAATAATACACGGGAGGCAGAATGACTGCCTGACTTCTGGTTACAGCTCAAGCTACCTGACTGTGAGCTTTAACTTTTCTAACCCCCATTTCTTCATCATAAAAATAATACCTACTTCAAAAAGTTCCAATGGGCATTAAAAAAATAATCCACATAATCCATTAGCCCAGTGGCATTTGGTGAGTGTTGTTAAATTGTTAAATATTATTTTCATTAGATTCACTGAGCTTACGTTGCCTTCCAGGGAACAAGAGTCATTTGTTACACAGACTAAAAATAGCTCATTACATATGACAACACCTTCTTTTCCTTAAAGCAAAGATCCACATGGAATAAACCTTTATATGGTTAAGATAACCAGATAGAGTTTCAAGTATAATTCAAGTTGTATTTTTTTGTTTCCATGAATATATGTTTCTTTTAGAACCCATAACCTATCAGATCATCAAATGTCCTATTTCATCTAAGACTATTTCTATGCATGTCCTTTCCCATTACTTAAATCAATTTGGTGTAAATATAACAGTGCTTAAAAGACAATTTTAAAATGTCCCTCTCTTACTAATAAAGGTGGTAATAGCTACTATGATTTAGTGGTGAAAAATAAAGTAGAATCTACTTGTACTAAATATAAGACCCTCTATCTTTTGTATGGTTTGTCAAGGCTTATAATCTTTACCGCTGTTATAAATCCTTCAAATCTTTCAGTAGCCTTGTTAGTCTTACCACTGACAACGAGGTAAAAATTTTAATGATACCATTAGAGCAACATGGATGCTGGGAATCAAAAGAGAACTATATTCGGCATATAGAGATTATTTTTAAAATTCTTCTAATGACTTAAAATTTGAAATAAGACAAACTATTTCTGTGCTTGCAATAGCTTACAGAAGTAAGTACTGGGAAGGTGTTTGTATTGAATTCTAGTCATGTTATCAGTTGGAAACAAAAGAGAAGAAACAGGTCTTCTCTGATAAAATGTGATTGTCATGGTAGGACCTACATTGTGTGTGTATATCCAAAGAGAAAGTCATGAATTCTATTTATCTGATTTAAAGGTCACACTAACCAGGATAGGCTTTGCCATATGGCCACTGGAGAAATAAAGTTTATTATGAAGCATGTGTATTAGAAGAATAGATTTGTGTGTGTACGTGACGTTGTTAGAATTTTGACTTCCCTAAATCTTCAAGTTGTGTCTCTTTGTTTATCCAGCAATACGTATCTAAAAATGTCATCTCTAGCGAGCATATTGTTGAGAGAGAAGCAGAGACGTCTTTTTCCACCAGTCACTACACTTCGACAGCTCATCATTCCACTACTGTCACTCAGACTCCCAGTCACAGGTATGAGAATAAAAAGCCGCATGACATTTCTCCAAGAACAATATTTACATGTTCCCTTTTGTTTTCACTGCCTATGAAAGGAACAGGAGGTACTTATAAGGCAGTGCGGTACTGTAGTGTGTATGATTTGGAACAAAAACAGGCTTTGGACATCCAATTGACTCTGCCACTAGTTGCTATTTGAATTTGACCCTCAACTTCTCTGTCACCAAAACAAGGGGAAATAATACCCACCTTACAGTATTTTTATTCACCATTTTAGAGATTGTCTTTTTTCATGCCTGACCATTTGCGGAATTGCTATTATTGTTATTCAGCCACTAAGTCATGTCCAACTCTTTGCGACCCCATGGACTGTAGCCCACCAGGCTCCTCTGTCCTCCGCTGTCTCCCAGAGTTTGCTCAAATTCATGTCCATTGAGTCAGTGCTGCTGTCTTACTATCTCATCCTATTCCGCCCCCTTCTCCTTTTGCCTTCAGTCTTCCATAGCATCAGGGTCTTTTCCAATGAATTGCTACACTAGAAAGAGTTTGTCTTAGATACTACATAATACTTAGAAGTTGACTTCTTCCAGTGGTTGGATTGCCCTGGGATATCACATGAGAACTGGTTACCTAGCTGAACCTCAAATTCTCAAATGCTCTGGTGATATCTGAGTGCGTACTGCCAAGGGCAGCACTAGTCTTCCAAATGGAGCACGTAAGACCAGGGTATCCTTAATCTAAGACGCTCAAGAACAGAGAGCTACTAAAAATATTTAGCACAAAATGGCATTTGTTTAATGTGTGTTGAATGGATGAATGCATAAATAAAGTGCATCCTTGCAAAGCTAACCGAAGTCACGATCCTATGCATCACAAGCATCTCAATAGACAGTCCTATTCTGAGACAAGTAATGCCAGCATGAAACATCAGTCATTTGCAAGATTTGTCGCTCCCCTTCCTTTCATTTCCGTGTGTGCATAGAATTAAAAATGCCCCTCTCTCTCTCTGCCTCTCACACTTCCCCTGTAGCTGGAGCAATGGACATACTGAGAGCGTCATTTCGGAAAGCCACTCTGTCATCGTGATGTCATCCGTAGAAAACAGTAGGCACAGCAGCCCCACTGGGGGCCCGAGAGGACGTCTCAATGGCTTGGGAGGCCCTCGTGAATGTAACAGCTTCCTCAGGCATGCCAGAGAAACCCCTGACTCCTACCGAGACTCTCCTCATAGTGAAAGGTAAAACCGAAGGGCACAGCCACTGCAGAGGAGAAAGCACCCCAGTAAGAGAATCCCTGTGAGCACCTGCTCTCCCACCTAAGGAACCTGCTCTCATGAGAATAAGGGGCGCCAGTTGCCTGGTCTAGGAGTGATCCTAGTTGATGAAGGCATCTTTTGGTTTGACTGAACTCATTTCTTCCGAGCTTCTCGCATCAGCCCAGTGGCTGACAGGCAACAGACTCTTAAAAGAGCTGGAATGATTTGACGTGGAAGGGGCAGCAGTCTTGGAGTTCCCAGCTTTGACCTTAGGCTCAGACCCTCTGGGGGAGTCTCAGTTCCCTCAACTGGAACTTGAGTACACTGGCCTCAGTGATCGATCAAGACCCTTCTAGAATCCTAAGTGGCCAGTTATCCAAACTCTGGTCAAGCTGGCCTCCTGTTCTCATGAGCTAACCCTTTCTTACCTTCCAGCCTCAGTTAAATCAGATCAAGGGCTGTGTCCTTGCTGACTGTCATGGGATGGCTTGCGTTCCACCAGACAGCATCCCTTCATGAAATTCCAGCAAGGAATGCATCCATCAATCTCCTATCCACTGCGGCTTGCAGTCTTCACAGGAGGTTTTCAAAGCAGATATTGCCTTTGATGTGGTTCTTATTCCAGAATGTGTTGGCTTTCTTCTGGGGCTATTGGGTTGGGTGGGGGGTAGTCAAGACAAACGTTAAAATAGAGATCAGAAGAAAGTAGCCTGAAAGAGATGCTTAATAGCATTACTGAATCCATAGATTCTCCTGATCCATTCTCACCTAAACTGGGGGAGAAAGTTATACCCAACCAGCATTCCTAGTCCATCAAGAAGCTGTTACTCATTTGTTTTCAAATCCAGCAGGGTTTTGTCTGTTTGTTGGTTTACTTTATTGTCTTCTCAGTCCAATCTCTGACCACTTGCTAAAAGGTTTACATAATGCCAAAGTCATACTTACTTGGTTTTCATGGATGGAGATGATTTGGGTACACTCCTTCACTCAGGCACTGGAAAGTACTTACAGCAAAGGATGACCAGTTTGGAGCCTGCGGGTCATTTAGAGCCTGCTTATTGCTTTTTCAAGGTCCTTTACCCCAAAATGGCTTTTCAGAATTTTATGGAATTAGGTTGCTCTAATTCATCTATGAAAAAGTAAGCATGGTCCAAAACTGGTTTAAAACATCAGCCTTAAATTCATGTAAGTATATCTTTATGTGTTAAGTCTGTTCCAATTCAATCCTTTTAGAAACCCAAGAAAGAAGATAGGGATAAATTCTTTCTCCGTCACTACAGGTGATGTTTATCTTTAAAGGCTGACATTTGCCTGCTGGGATAGGCTTCCATTCATACCCCAGGTATTGTTTAGGACATCAGAATGTACCTGGCATCCTGGAGAAAAATGATGAAGCCGTGCTATGGGTTGGTTGACTCTGGATTAGCATTTCTCAGAGAGCTTAATTTAAGTATCCCCAAAATAATAAGTCTGGAGACTCAAGCCCCAGATTTTTCCATCTGGAGACACTTTCCCATTTTAGACACAGTCAGATCTCACATCTGTATGACTCAGAATCATGGATGGCAAGCATGAGGGTTAATAGGTTTCTTGTTCCTGTTAGCTGGAGATGAGAAGACGGTGTCCTGTGTCATCACAGGTCATGTCAAATTAGACTCTGCAAATGCCAACGTGAAGGAGAGAGTCCTTTAGTGCTACACATCGGTGACATTTTTATCTAAGCTGAGAAATGTGACTCTGAATAAGCCACATCTTTCTCAGTGCCATATAAGGTCTTCTTGTTCTGGGTGAAGAAAGCACGGTATGGTAAAAACAGTGCACTCAATGTCTTGACAACAAGATTTCCTGAGGGTTATCAAACATTGCATGACATAAGGTGACACGGTACAGCCCACCTTTGAGCAGTCAGAAAAGATAAGCCAGAGCCGGATACAGCTGTGGGTTTTGGAAGAGAGATAGACCAGGGATTGGACATAACGATGAAGCCAAGTGTCAGCTTTCTTTGAATGTCATGGTCAGTGGGATATAGAGTTGCAAATGGAATGTTAAGTCGCATTTCATGGAAAAGTTAAAAGCGCACAAATGTGTTACGCTGTTTTCAGGAATAAATCTAAGTTACTATGCTCTTTTTTTTTCATAAGACATAACCTTATAGCTGAGCTAAGGAGAAACAAGGCCCACAGATCCAAATGCATGCAGATCCAGCTTTCCGCAACTCATCTTAGAGCTTCTTCCATTCCCCATTTGGGCTTCATTCTCTAAGACCCCTTGGCCTTTAGGAAGGTATAGTATTTAAGTAATACTTCTTCCCCTTCCAAATCCCCGAGCCTTGGTCCTTACCAACTGAGAGGTTTCCAGGACTCTGTGCCCTCTTGTCTTAACTCACATGCTTTTATTGAAAATCATGATTTTAAAAAAAAAAAGAAAATCACGATGAGATGGAAAAAAAAATCTCAAACGCTTTGCTAAGCCAGGCAATTTAGCTGATCTTTGCATGCACTCCTGTGAGGAGACTCTTGACCACCTAATTGGAGATTCCAAATGTCCTAGTGTAAAACCCGAGACGTCTACAATGAAGAGAATTTCTCTGTTGTCTGATGATGATATCTGATGATACGATAATGACCTCTGCCCCCTGACCCCCCCACCCCTCACTCTCTGCCACTCTCATTGCACCACACTTACGCTGAGGTCTTCTGTGCCCACACAGGTATGTATCAGCAATGACCACCCCGGCTCGTATGTCACCTGTAGATTTCCACACGCCAAGCTCCCCCAAGTCGCCCCCTTCGGAAATGTCCCCGCCCGTGTCCAGCACGACGGTCTCCATGCCCTCCATGGCGGTCAGTCCCTTCGTGGAAGAGGAGAGACCCCTGCTTCTTGTGACACCACCACGGCTGCGGGAGAAATATGACCACCACGCCCAGCAATTCAACTCATTCCACTGCAACCCTGCGCATGAGAGCAACAGCCTGCCCCCTAGCCCTTTGAGGATAGTGGAGGATGAGGAATATGAAACGACCCAGGAGTACGAACCAGCTCAAGAGCCGGTTAAGAAACTCACCAACAGCAGCCGGCGGGCCAAAAGAACCAAGCCCAATGGTCACATTGCCCACAGGTTGGAAATGGACAACAACACAGGCGCTGACAGCAGTAACTCAGAGAGTGAAACAGAGGATGAACGAGTAGGAGAAGATACGCCTTTCCTGGCCATACAGAACCCCCTGGCAGCCAGTCTCGAGGCAGCCCCTGCCTTCCGCCTGGTTGACAGCAGGACTAACCCAACAGGTCGCTTCTCTCCGCAGGAAGAATTGCAGGCCAGGCTCTCCGGTGTAATCGCTAACCAAGACCCTATCGCTGTCTAAAACCGAAACACACCCATAGATTCACCTGTAAAACTTTATTTTATATAATAAAGTATTCCACCTTAAATTAAACAATTTATTTTATTTTAGCAGTTCTGCAAATAGAAAACAGGAAAAAAAACTTTTATAAATTAAATATATGTATGTACAAATGTGTTATGTGCCATATGTAGCAATTTTTTTACAGTATTTCCAAACGAGAAAGATATCAATGGTGCCTTTATGTTATGTTATGTCCAGAGCAAGTTTTGTACCATTCCGTGACTGCTTTTTCACAGTATTTCAGCAACCCTCCACCCCATATATTCTGTTTTTCGCTGGCTTCCCGTGCATTGCATTATGATGTTGACTGGATGTATGATTTACAAGATTTGCAGCTGTCACTCCATTTGCTTCAAGTAGTACTCAATCGGGATGTCTTGTAATGGCGCATCCATCCAATACTCCCCCTCTGTATGAGATTTTTCTTTTGCTTTCCGTATGTGAAATGAGTTGTGTCTACTCTGCCAGCCAAAGGTTTGCTTCACTGAGCTCTGAGATAATAGAAGATCCAGCAGCATGCTACTATTAATTACAGCAGGAAACTGCATTAAGTCATGTTACATATTAGGAAGAAAGTAATATTGTGATTTTTTCAAAAACTATATTATTCATCAGAAGACAGCTCGCTCTGACTTAAAAGGAGCTACCATTTACTTTATGCGGATTGATTTTTTTTGCAACAAAAGAAAAAAAAACAAGTTTTGGGGATAGCACAGAAAGTGGATGCTGGCTAGCAATCAGGGTAAGGTCCAACCCTAAGCTGAGGACTCAGTTTCACTTTCTCTCTCTGGGGGATTGATACAGCAGTTCATCTAATTGAAGAGCAAACCATGGCTGAAAAAGGTGCAATCATTCTTGACTTGTGTTTTTTCACTGATGTGGGAGCGAGTGATTGGTTGTGTCTTCTCAGCTCAAGGACAGACGTGTTATGGCACAAAAAACCCCAGTTTCAACAGCACACTCAGCAATTTGTCTGGAATACTTCTGGAATGAAGTGTGCCTGTTGTATATGGCGGTGATGTCATTATAGAGAACTAGTTCCGCCGTAGATTGTCTAGAGGAGTGAACGTGTAGAAGACACAGGGAAGAGTGGCCATGTGACCCAGCTGGTGATTTTTTAAGTTTTTTTGCCCGTTCCTTTGTCCTGATTATTCTTTTCTTGTTTTACAATCTCGCCTTGATTAGATCGTACTAAGCATGAACATTTTTGTCAGAAATGGCCAGTGTGCCTGTAATTTGTGATTAGGAAGAATCTCCCATGAGCAAGGATGCATCAAGAAACGGCAGTAGTCTCAGAAAGATTGCACCTTTCCTTGCAGAAATGACCCCCACCTGTGTGCTAACCTCTCTGTTTGCAGCTGTATCATCCGTTTTCCCCCTTTTTTAGTTTTTGCTTTACTGTCAACAAAAACAGGATTAAGATGAGTCCACCCTTGGCACGTTCTCTTGTGGTAACCAATCCAAGGAAGGTCTGTAGGTAGAAATACTTGAAATAACTGCTAATCCAGGAAAAGAAGAGAATTTGGTAAAATATTGTAGTACCAAGTCTGTTGAGTCGAGCTGGAGGTTTATTTAGGTTCCAAGTGGCCTCCCAGGAGCCATGAGACAAAATGGGGAAACAGGTTAGCAGGGGGTTCAAAATACCACCATGAAGTTAAGGAGAGTGACTCTGTTGTTTGCAAGTAAATGGAGTCTAGTTCTTCACCACATCGCTATGTTAAAATCAAAAGGAAGACATGCAAAGAGGTCTTAGAAGAAAAGTGCAGGCTGAGCATGAATCATGCCATTAAGCTCCTAAGTGTTTCTACAATTCACAGAGACTGTCAATGTGTCCTTAGCATTTGGTATCCCAAGCATCCTTCATGTTCCCATGCCACTTTCTCTGTGCTCAGAAGTGTCCTCACGTGCTTATTCACCTTTCCTAAGGAGCCCTTGACAACTCCCCAAGTTGCACTGATTTCCCAGTTATGTAAAATCAGTAAGCTCACAGCAGGGGAAAGAAAAGAGTCCACCCCAAGAAGTTCTCCAAATTATTCTCAATTGCCTTTGAAGACCTAGACTCCTTCTTAGACTATTTCAGTAAAAAAAAAAATTCTTACCGTAATTAAAACTCTAGAATTTCAGTTTCAAATTCCTCAAGCATGGGAGTCTTGTTCTGGAGAATGTCAGGAATAAATAAAATCTTTGATTGAGAGAAAGAAACAACATGCTTCTCAGTATGAAAAATCTCTGTCAATTTTCAGGTTGCAAAAATAGATGACAATTGAGGACAAGAGGAAATTTTCTTTCCAACTTGGTTCTGGTCACTCATCAAGGTGACATATATCAGTTAGGACAGGCTTTCTGTCCATAGAATGATAGATTTCCTTCATAGGAAAGGCCAGAAGACTACTTGGGGCTCCCTGCTGTGGCCACCAGATTTGTGTCCACAGGGGCGTCTCTGGGATGTTCAAATGCCACCATCCCTGTTTGTAAACTCAGGAGTGCAGTGGCAATGCAAAGAAAGCATGTGAACCAACAGTCCCAGCATAAGGGAAGCCTCTCTGGGTCTTCAGGTGGTGGAAATTGCTGAGACGTTTGACAGTGACTTTGTTTCCTGGGTCTGAGATCATGTCCCGTTGAGGAAGATGCAGGGGAGCGTAGAATATGAAAAATGCCTTTTTCTAACTCTGGGTTCCTTTTACATCCTGCTCTCCCTCCTTGCCTGGTAGGACTTTTATTTCTGAGAGTGTCTGGACAGTCTCCTGCTTTCTACAAAATGGCACTCTGCCTGGGTATTTGTGAATGTGTCCCAAAGACCAATATGCCATATCTTCCTTGTTTAAGTGTGACTGTCATGATAGAGTTTATCCAGGGTCATTTGCTCTGTAACTTTTTTTTTTTTTTTTTGGCCTGGGTTGAAAGGTATATGGCTCACATTGGTAAAAATACAGAATACCTAGTTTTTCTTAGTCCTGGCTGCATCCCACCAGCCACAAAGATGTCTGTCCACAAAGGCCCATGAAACACTGCAGAGAAATGCAGACAAAAGGAAATGGCCACATATCACAAGTTCTATTATATATTCTTTTGTAAATACACATTGTACATTACTTGGATGTGTTCCTAAATCATTTACTGTCTTTATGAGTTCATGTCAGTTTCTTTTTTTTTTAACTCTCTTAACTTACTGTGTAACATTGTAAATAACATAATGTCCTTTATTATTTATATTTAAACATCTAACATAGAGTTGTTTTCATATAAGTTTAAGATAAATGTCAAAAATATATGTTTTTGGTTTTTCTTTGCTTTAAAGTTATGTATCTTTTCCTTTTGCTTTTTTTATTTTTTAAGAATAATTTATTGTTCAGGAGAAAGAATGTATATGTAACTGAAACTATTTGAAGAATGCACATTTGAAGGCCGTGAGGTACTGATAAACTAAAGAATTTATTATCCAAAATACTAAGCAATAAGTAATTGTGATTTATTTAAAGTTTTGTCCATTTTCCATGAAAGACATACTGCAATAAAAATGCTACTCTGCGGAGATCTGGGAGTGTGGGTCAACAGACGAAGGGTCCAGTCTGTTAGACCAGCACCTTGCCTTTTACTGTGATGGTTGTGCTAATTTAGGGCCCTGTTTGATGGATCTCATGTTCATCTTGTCTGTCCATTGCTTTTGCCACCCTGCCTGTTCTCAAATCATCTCCCGCCTGTCGGTTCTGCATACCACTGTGTTCCTTGTTGAAGGAATCGCAACCAAGCAATATGACATTTTTACATAAGAGCATAGACAAGACATTGTAGGGCCTGATTGCCCGGATCCAGATTGTTACCACGTTCTGTAGAGACAGCATGTAATTTCTTCCAACTCATGGAAATGTCAGTATGGAAACCCATTCAGTCGTGAGACAGAAACATGTTCCCGTGGTCCGAAGGATCCAGTGGCCACCATGGCTCAAAGGCAGCCAGTCAGAACTGGGCTCTGCTAAGCTCTACTAGAGCTTAAGTAAATGTGCTTTCTCCATCTGGTCTATGATTGAGCAATTCATGATTCTAAGAGAAAATAAGGCTAAATTGGGTTCTTTCCTCCTCATTCTATCAGTAAATCAATCTCAGTGTCCATCTTACTGCTCAGGGGAGAACCTAGGCATGAGAAATGTCCTGCATTCTAAGACTCAGTCATAGGAGTGAGGATATTCCTTCTCTTCTTGAAATTAGCCTCAACAAAAGCCATATTTTAGCAAATAGATATTTGCATGAGTGATACTTTTTGTATATTTCAAGCATCTTACTCATTATTCCGAACAGGGTTGGGACTTCCAAAGTGTATGCAGTTGAGGTCAGCAGTCCTTTGGGGTGACCATCAGCCTCCTTTGGAGTCTGAGGGTACCCTGAGTCTTCTCACCTCCACATCTGTGTGCAATTCCTGTTACCTTGGAAAGATCCACTAGCATTTTTTCCAAAGCCATCTGGATGTCTAGGAGATTCAAGGAGGGGCCTTTGTGCTAGTTTTTTCTCTTGGTATTACTGAATTTTCAAAGCTATTCAGAATCCTCATATTTGTGTTAACATTGATATGCACACAAATACACATACACGAGCACTTACAAATTCTTAACACACTCTCCTAAAGTCATGATATTCACGCACGTGTCCAATCCACCCATGCAGCCATTGAGCAAATCAAGGAGTGCACAGAACCCTTAAAAATTAAAGATGAAGACACTTCCCTGTGTATTCAGCTTACAGCTAAGGCTTGGTCCATCCCCAGAATCGAAAATTACAGGAAACCGTCTTAGTCATTTAGGTTAAAATCGAGTGCTTGCATGCTCAGTCGCATCAGTCATGTCTGTCTGTTTGCGACCCTATGCACTGTAGCCTTCTAGGCTCCTCTGTCCATGGGATTCTTCAGGCAAGAATACAGGAGTGGGTTGCCATGCCCTCCTTAAGATATATTGGTATTGGAGACAGAAGCATGGGTGGTGGGGGGTGGTGTGGAGACAGCAAAGATTCACACACGTCCACATCCAATATCTGGATAATGATTACAACCCTCCATTTATTTTAACCATGTAGACACCTGAATGTCACAAAAGCCAGCTTTGCAAACTAGCAAACAGTCTGTCTTTCCAACCTAATAATCCTCCCCATCGTTATATTTCTTGGCTCTCCGTCCTTACGATAAATGACAAAGGGACTTAATGTCAGAGATTTGGGGTGATGTGAGGCAATTCTGAAATCTAGAGGTTTGGGACGCTGGATGGAGTGGAAATTTTTGATGATCTCATGTAGTATCACTTTGCACTCTGTCTATATGACTTGCTCTTTCTGTAATGGATGGAATAAAATAAATTGATGGAAATTCTTGCTCCAAAAGATTAATTTAAAAACAGAAAAGCTTTCAGTTTACGAGAGAAACTTTCTGCTTCTCCTAGAAGCTGCCATATTCCTAAGCTTTAAGGCTATTGTTGGAAAGAGTAGTCAGACCCACTTCTGCATGTACATGTGGCTCCTATTAATATCCTGACATAGCAGTTGTTGGACTTCTTCAGTGAGCTGTTGGTTTTGAACTTCAAGCTCCCAAATATCGCCCACCAGGGAGAAGGAAAAGGCTTTTTTTTTTTTAACCTGGAGGAAATCTATCATGATCTACCTAATCCTTTTAGAAACACATCAGGAGAGGGAAACCAGTAATTCCTAAAGAGGAATACTGTAGGGATCCTAAGGAGGAGACAGAGTATAGAGTAATAGTTCCATCCAGGATCATTCCCTAACCCTCTTCCTTAAAATGAACTTTCGGGGATAGAATTTGATGGAAAAAACACCACCTCTTCCCACCCCACAACATGTCCAAGAGGCTAGAGGATTATTACCTTTGTCAACATAAACATCTTTAATAGCTTTATGTGTTTGTTCTTATGCAGAGAAACTATTAGGTAGAATAACATTTTATGCTATTTTATGACTTAAAACATCCTTTATTTCTTTATTATTCTCTTAATACCCTGGGATGTTGGTAGATGAAATTATGAGGAAAATTGAGGCTCAGAAATGTTAAAAAAAAAAAAAAAAACTGTCCTCAGGCTACTCATCTGGTGAATTGCAGAGGTAATATGTTTTCCCAGGTTTTCTAATTGTATTCCTCCCTTTCCCCTGAGCCGAGCACAAACAACTCTTTCCTTCTCAGCCCTTCATCACCGGGACAGTACAAGTTCCATGCAAAACCAAGTCTCTACTTGAAAGAATATGAGCCCCTCTGGCTCAGCACAAGTGACTCTGGAGCCCAATTTGCTTGGCTGAGTAACTCTATGCTTTTTCCCTAAAAGTCACTTTCCAAGGAAATGAAGTGTAGCCAGGAAGATGAATTCACAACTTCAATACGTTGGTGGCATCCTGCGGTGCAACAGGGAAGGGCTTTGCTGTCAAAGCGCTGTCCCCTCCACTTAGTGACATTGTGAATTTGGACAGCTTCCTCCTCCAAGATTATTTCCTGATCTCTAACATGGGAATTCAAATGACTTTACAAAGCCGTAGCGTAGTGAGAATTACATTTGAACACTTGGAGGAAGCTAGAAAACATCTAGCACATGATGAGTACTCAAATGCTGCCTTCCATTTGCTCCTTCCCCTCCAAGTTAATTTGGAAACTAAACTTTTCAGTCCCAAATGACATAGTCTATATGGCACAAACTGATCAAATTTATTTTATCTTTCTCCAATCTAGCACCAGTAGCCAAATCCATTTTTAATAACAACGGTGTGTTGAGCAGCATTATTATTTAAAAAGATAGAAAATTGTCACTCCAATAAGTTCTTTTATTTATTTGCCTCTGGTGTAGCCACACTGCTTCCAGTAAAGTCTCTAATTTTTAATGACATTGCATTAATGTCTCATAATTTCATGGAAATTTACTGAAACATAACTCTTGGTAGAGTTTCATAATACTGTCTTCAAACTTCATTGCAAACAGTTGATAAATACAAATGGATCCTGTTGATATATTACCCACACATACCCATTTGCCTTAGTTTGCACCCAGGATGTTCGAATGAAACCATAAAATTGCATCCTGGATGTCCATTTCCTTAAAAAAAACTGTAACCTAGGCAAAGATCTGCAGTGACAAAATTAGAGGAGTCAGCTCCCAGATGAAGTCATGTACATATAAGAAGCCACATTATTTATGGATGGTTCTCACTCACTTCCATTATCTCTCCCATAATTCTTCATGCTCTAGTCACTCTTTATGCATATACTATAGGATACTTTTTTTTCCTCATCCTGAGTATGAAGCCATGAATAATTTATAGACTTAAGCTTTTGGATTTCACCCTTCAAATTTGCATCCTACATCAAGGATGGTGGGTGACTTGCTATCACTACACCCATGATCAGATCTGTGGTATAGTTAATACAGTTCTACTGTTAAAGGCAAGAAAGTCTAAAATCATTGCCCATATAAAATCCTTCATTTAAATTAAAATGTATTCAATTGAAAATAATCCTGACTCCCTATGAAAAAAACACGAGGAAGTTTTATAGTTTTAAGGAAATAATCTAGATGTAAGCTTTGTATCCTGTTCGTTATTAGCGATCATCAGGAATTAAGCAAACACTTGTTTTCGGTTCCATGATTTTCCTCAGGTGATTCCTCCTTGCCTGACCTTTAGCCCTTCTCTTGAGGTGAGGTGCTTAGAGTGCTTCCCCAGGGTTGGGGGCCAGGGTTGTTTTCTAGAGCCCCTCCAGTTTCCCACATTTGAACCCAAAGTGAACTTTTCGTCTTCTTCAGAGAATGAGTCTTCTTGGGTGTGTACTTTAACAGCTAACAAGGTAACAAAACAGGCAATTTCCCCCTTGGGTCCTAGATTCTCTGCCATGAAGAATCAGGAAGAGAGGAAATGCTACAGGTGAGAGCCACTTGTTCTGAGCTCCTCAATTCCCAGTACCCAGGTTCCTGCTAATTATAAGATGACTCCGCCCTCATGTGAGAAGCTTCCTGCAAAGATCCCATCCTC